ATGGTGTGTACGTTCTTTTTGCCTGGTTAGTTTCCATGACAACTGAGTTGTTTTGTGGAGTCAATTTGTATTCTTGTGGCGTTTTGGAACAGTGCTTGTACCTTCATCCAGCAAGTTACACGGCCGTTGTCACTCAGCTTCTATGATGTCATCTCTGAAGTCTATTCTAGTACGTGTTTATGACGGAACGGTTAAATATTGTTTAAATGAATACAAGATAGCTGTTTGCATTACATATTGCAATGCGTAATTCATATTCATATTCACATATCGTCAATATAAAATCTATACAACAAAGATTATACCAGTGACGCAAGCCGATCCTTCAGAGATCGTTTGTAGTTTGAAGGTGTTGTTTGCGGAAACAATACCCTTTTGTTCAGTGATAGTATGAATGTCAGTGACAGCTCGTCAGTGAAGTCAGACACGTAGGAAATTACGTAACAGTTTAGTAACAGCGATAACGCCAGACATGACGGAGCTATGTGTGATTCTGTCCGTATGTATGTGTCCTTATACATGTAGAATGCTCCCACCTTACTACTACTACTGCTACGACGACTACTACTACTATTACTGCTGCTGCTCCTGCTACTATTACGAAAATACGACGACGACCACGAATACGACTACTACTGCTATTACTACTACTACTAGTATGACGACGACGACCACTACCATGAATACGACGACTACTACTCAGCTGCTGGTGTTGCTGCTGTGGCTATGTCAACATGTACTGCTACTACCACCACCACCTCTACTACTACTCTGATCATTATCTTGTTATATGTACTTCAATTATCTAAATCGGCATTCAACAATTATTGGTCAAGAATGTTAATATATCTCACATTTCTATTTATTTTGAAAAAAATTGCCGCTTTCGTGTTAACAATTACTGTGCAATGACTGGAATGTCCTCCCAAAGGTCACATTATTTGCTGACACTGTTAATTGTTGTGTTTAAAGTTATTATGCATAGTATACAAACAGACATGATTACAAGTGTCCACGGGGACAATTGCATAGCAGCGGGACAGGCTGTAATGATGTTTTTTTGTAAACGTGAGAAAATATTTTTGCATCAAAAGCTAAGTTACTAATTATAGTGAAATTATTAACGAGTAGTTATCATGCTGGGAAATATACACATAATAGGATCCGATTATGATCCATGGTGCTTAATCAGTATACCCATGTTCTTTGGTCCACAAAAGACTCTAACGACCTTGATCTATGGACAGTCCTTCTACAGCAAACGGATATGGGAGGGTTGACTCAGCTCACTCACTCAACTTAAATCTCAAACTATGTCTGCCCATTTGCGTAGATGAGGCAACTGTTCTATCAAAACAGATGGCCGGTCTTGCAGAGGTTAAGCTGCACGACATCACGGTTAAGAGGCCCGTTCCTTAAAACGATCTTAGCCTTACGATTGTCCTGTCTGCTACTGTGTAGTATGTAGGTCGTCATTAGGGCTACGATCGCTGAAAGTTACTTGTCGTTGCTAACGCTGCTACTGTTTGGAAGTGGCGCAATACCTGCATCGAAACCCGTGAAGATCCGGGTTAGAATTATCTTCAATAACCTATGCTTGTCGTAAGAGGCGATTAACGGGATCGGGTGGTCAGGCTCACTGATTTGGTTCACACATCTCATCTTATCCCAGTTGCATAGATCTATACTCAAGATGTTGATCACTGGATTGTTTGGTCCAGATTATTTACAGACCGCCGCCATATAGCTGGAATATTGCTGCGTGCGGTGTTAAACAACAAACCAACCAACCTCCATCCAGGCGGTAACTGAGTCAAACATATGCTTCTTCATACACAGTGCTGCGTCACCATGTGTTTTATACCTATATATTACAAGTAAAATGGGTTGACAGTAACATGAACTGGCGAAGCTCGTACATTATCTTTATGGCGTGTTCCTGGCGTCCGTTACTGGACATCGTTCAGAAACCTGACCGACTTACTTTGGTCCGTACACTACAGTACAAGAACGAAAGCACTTATGGCATGAGTCGTGTTGAGACTTCTGCCCCCTAAACGGCCACCAATACCCTGTATTTGCTTGAGAGTATAAAATGTGATATATATCCATTAATTACAGGGAAGAAGATAGACGCCATTAGATGCGCTAGAACGGGGACTGGGTGGCCACGAAACAAACCTTACTGATTGTATGTCATTCTCGGCTTGAATTCCAGGTCCTGATTGTATTATTTAGCTACCATTGTTATTTAACTGACATCTATATTGATTGGGGGCATAAGGCAACATTCACTCACTCAGTAATTAGTCAAAGATGCAAAGAATAGTCAGGTGTTCAGTCATAGGGGTCAGTCTTACCAACTAATTCACAGCAGGTGTGCGCTCTGTACAGATCGTATGCCTCCATTTATATATTCCCAAGAACAGTGATTCATTCACTAAAAATGTTACAACGCAAATGCACATACAACGTGTTCTTAAATGAACTTTTCACCCATCGTTTCCTTAGTATTTCTTAGTGGGATTTTGTTCACTTCTCACTTTAACATGTTCACACCTTCTGTTGCCGAACAGGACACAACAAATCTGTTCTGTCCTTCACGTGTCACTAACTTTTAACCCGGATGCTGAAAAGTCACGTGTTTTGGCTCGTGCTGGGAACACGACTGGTTGCGGGTGAGGGGATTATCGGACGCTTCACTCAATGCGCAGATACAGTTTTTCGGGACGAGAGGATGTATTTCGAAATCAAAAGTGAACTAAGGTCAGATGACTGTAAATAAATGGCGAAACAATTCGTTTTTGTCAAAGCGTTCATTGCGTTTAAACGTCATAAACGAAATAGATTCAAATATAGTTTAATGTCGATATAAAGGTAATCCAAATATTCGATTAAGTAACTAAAAGTAAATGAAAAGTGTGCATTTTTCCAGCGCAATCAGTATTACGTCTGTGTCGAGGGATAACAATATAACACTCTCGCCTGTAAAACAACATCGTGTGCAGTCATCCACCTCGTCATATATAGTCCTGGGTGAGTTGTCTACCCTTGTGCTAGCCCGCCCAGGCTCTTGCAGCCAGTATTTCCCAGTCCCCATTCCGCCCCTTGTGACAGGTTTACAATGCCGAAAGCTGCTGTTCCCGAATTCAACAAGAAAGGTAATTTCAAAACAAGTTGGCGAAACTTGATACTACTTTAAGCAGAATTTCTGCAAATTATTCAAATATTAATATTTAGATAATACAATACTTTTGAGTTTACGATTATGCCAAGATATTGCTCTCAGCTTCAGAAATGGTGACATGTTCCAACGTCAGATAAAAAAACACGACAACGCCGCTACAACTGATGAAAGAGTCAATAAATATATAAGAAACTTAATGTATGCTACTTCTAGCACAACTACCAACAACCGTCAACCTGATGATGATGATGATGATGATGATGATGATGATGAAAAACAGATGCTCATATTTTAAATGCTATAGCCTAAATCTAAAAAAGGGTGGAGGTGATTGAGAAAACATGCTCATGATATTTTTTATACAACCATTCCATCACACTAGCTGAACAATGAACACTGTATCAACTATCAGAGCTGCAACACTGGATATCAAGGTCTTGAAACGCGATTCGACAAGGACAGCGCACCAACAGTGTAGATATGATACACGCAGTACCTAGGAGTTCGGGAATAGCCACCAACAGTGTAGTGTAGCAAGAAGGCTTAAGTGATGAGAGGAAATCACACGTGTCGCACAGAACCATCATGAAATCTGATACAAATGTTCACTTTTCTCCAGCTACTCTTTTGATTAAAAAAACGGCGTAAAGAAGGTCTGTCGTAATCCCTGTAGGACATAGTGCTCTGCTGTCAGAAGTGTTCATATTTAAAAACTTTAGTGATTCATCTCAATCAATTCTCCGATGCTAGCGGATTGTGTTATAAGGATCAACCATGCCTCCACTAACTACAACCTTCGAAATTCAGTTCATGAAAATGCGTCACTCGTAGAAGTGTGACCCCGCCCTTTCAAAGGTTAGATTTAAAAGTTCAAAATTTTAACTTTAGAGCTTTCACTTTAAGTTTTGAAAACATCATAAGATTTGTAACAAGTTCGCATAGGAACGTTTCTTCTCTGTCCACATTCTGCAGAGGATGTCGAATTGTATGTCACAGGGTCCCTATATGTTGTTCATTAGCAAGACAAACTACAAGCTACTTTAAGGCTTGAATACAAATCAAGTTGCAGTGTCATATAATACTACCCGACCAGTTTCAAAATAAGTGACTAGCTTATTAGTGATTTCTCGATATTTATGAAACGATTTCTGATTTTATTTCGAAGTCAGTCACGAAATAAGTGACTTGCTTATTAGTGATCGCTCGAAACTTGTGACACGGTTTCTCATTTGATTTCGAAATCAGTCACATAGCAACCATTCATAGCAACCATTTCAACGTATACGCATTTGTTTTAATCATGAGAATAAATGTCCATTTCGTGGATTAACGGAGAGGCACTATAAGAACGGTTGTGAATGAAGACACGCCCATCTCGTTGTTTTTAACCTACAATGTGTATTATGCGTGGTAAGTTAAGTCTGTTCTGTATGAGAGTGCATTCATGTGATACAGCATGGTTTCAGAACATCCAGCGTTTCGACTGTTCAATATATAAGAGTCTCTGAGACAAACGATGTATTATTCTAAAACTAGATGGTCCATTCATCATTGAAGCTTCCTTTACCTGCGCTGACATTCAAGCAATTATTTCACAAGCACGCATTTGCTGTTTCTTTTCAGCTATTGCTTTGAACAATCAGAAAATATTTCAAAGCAATGAAAAACGTCATAAATGTTCCATCCTACAATGTAACGTTTGTCAGTCAACGTCAACTATACAAACTACGTATGAATTGAAGCATGCATATCTCATTCATCACAAATCATTGTTTGCAAATGCAGCAAGGAACAAGTACGTGTAAACACTTACCTATAAGCCCTTGTTCATCGTACTCCAGAAATTCTCAAAGGAGATCGTCAGTTCCGCAAGCAGCCTCCACCCAAGCAGACGACAGTTCCAGAAAGACTGGGATCTTTTCTAACCCACCCAAGTGTCGTCTGCTCAGCCTGTGACGTCACATGGTGATAAACTGGAGGAGATATTATACCTGTCGCTCGTTAGGTTCTTAAGTCGTTCCTTTGACATATGAGAGCGGTTAGCATAAGGTTCGCATCCTCCATAAATTATACAGCTGGTCGCACTTGAGAGCTTTCATAGCTGCCGGCAGTTAATTGGTTAAGGGCCATTTGACATATCATCTCAATTAGCGGGCATATAATACCCACCTTTGTGAAATTATCAGTTTTGTACAAATCTAGTTATTTAGATACATCCGGCGCGCAATAGCGGGGTATGTATCTATTAAAGCGTGTTTTTGATTTCGGTTCGAGTGTCGTCAGTATTGCATATTAACACCATGTTCTAGCACTGTTTGATTGTGAGATGACACGTTTCAGAAACAGTGCCGTTTGATTACCTTATATCATACTTTTTTGTGAATATGTCACAATAAACGAGCACTTGAATATGAACTGTCACATAAATATTAATTTATCAAGTTCGTTAATTCAGTCTGATTCATTTGGGTATTGATAAACATTGCTTTTCGAGGATGAAGATAATACAATAATCCGGTGTTTTTTACCCCATCAATCATCACCATGATGAAGATGACGACGATTATAATGATGAAACTACTGTCAGTTTCGACGTTCGACAGAATACGTTAATTATTGTGTTTGGCAGTGTGCATGTCGGTAGCACTCGATAGCCCAGGGGAATAAATGCTTTTACAGGAGTAATTGTGTAAATCTGTTTTTTGAGTAATTGTGGTAGGATTGTTCCAGGGTGAATTCTGCAGTGAGTTAAATAACCTTTGTCATAATGCTTCTCGGAGGGGAGTGTATTGTGTATGTATATGCATCAGGTTTGATTCAGGGGATGCAGCGTGTGACGGGTTAATGATTGTAATATGGTCCTTAACATTTGTGAGTTGAGTATAATGTTCGTAAATAAAGGTGTACTTCTGAGCCAGAGAAGACGTCAGCAGTGATAATGAATGTTTTGGAAAGTTGTGGACAGAGGGCTTATGGATATGTATCCCAATCAACATAGAATTCGTAACGTTACGACCTGTCGTAACTCTACATTTTACCATAAACTTACGAATGTCGTAGCACTACGAGCTCTTTGTAGATCGGACCCGTGAAGATCCGGGGTAGAATAGGTCTTCAGCAACCCATGCTTGCCACAAAAGGCGACTATGCTTGTCGTAAGAGGCGACTAACGGGATCGGGTGGTCAGGCTCGCTGACTTGTTTGACACATGTCATCGGTTCCCAATTGCGCAGATCGATGCCCATGCTGTTGATCACCGGATTGTCTGGTCCAGACTCGATTATTTACAGACCGCCGCCATATAGCTGGAATATTGCTGAGTGCGGCGTAAAACTAAACTCACTCACTCACTCTTTGTAGATCGGTACCCAGGAGATCGTGACCCAGTCGAGGGTTTTATGACGTCTTGTTCAAACAGATACGGTAGTGTTCTTTATCTCATGGTACATAATGGTGTTGTTGTAGAGTAATTTCCTTTTAGGCGTGATGGCGTGCTGTATCAATTATTACTATATTATCTGTGATAAGAAACATTGCATGTACAGCTGGTTACGGCGAAGTTTTAGCTACAATAGGAGTGAAGCATTTAAGGCCGCTGCTGGTGATGACGATGAAGGCAATGATGATAACTATCATAATAATAAGAGCAATGGTAGTATAGTTGTTCAGTATAGCTCATGATCAAAGACGCTGAGGGTGATAGCCGTCGTTGTCGTAGTAATAGTAACAGCAGTAGCAGCAACAGCTGTAGTAGTAGTAGCTCCAGCAGCAGCAGTAGTAGTAGTTGAGTGAGTTGAGTTTTACGCCGCACTCAGTAATATTCCAGCTATATGGCGGAGTAGTAGTATTAGTATTAGTAGTAGTAGTATTAGTAGGAAGGTGGACGCATTCTATAGATATAGGCCCATATATACAGACAGAATCACACACAGCTCCATACTTGAAATGACTTGCCTTATCCCTGTCACTAAACTGTTACGCAATTTCAAAGGTGAAGGTATCTAACTTGTCTGACGAGCTACCGCTGAAATGCACACCATACAAACACCATCACAAAACAGTACAACAATAACGCTTGTCGCTGAATTGACGCAATAGATGACACTTATATAGAGCAGCCTTGAATGAACATCGCGGCTCAGTGATATGTGGATCACTTAATTTTATTTTAGTCGGGAAAAAAATATACATTCGCTATGTATGTGTAGACCTTCCATCGTGGTCATCGTGACCGAGTTCCTATATACGTTTCACCATAGTTATGAATGATTGTTGCAATGCAACATCTGTTAATTGGGTACGTAACTGAAGACTTGGTGTTGATTTCTTTCAATATTTACGAATACTTCTGTGAGAGGCATTTTAGAAGTTGTAAAGATGAAGAAAAACCAAGTTCTACGGATAGTCTTTATCGGTGTAGGTACTATCGCCGTTATCAAGGAGGTTCCTACACCGGAACGTCGCACTCATTGCAATAAAGAAGTGGACTATCCATAGAACTTGGTTTCCCTTTACGAATACTGTTTAATTAATTAGTTTCCTGGCTGTTTTTTGTAAGGATACATAGCTGCTATCCTGCTTCACATCGGTACAAGAATCTGTATCGAAACGTCGCACTCACGTCCTAAAAGAAATTGTTATCAACACAGTTTGTCTATATTGAAACATACAGCAATAATCCAGGTACATGTTGGTAGTCTGAAGGATATATTGACCAGACAATCAAATTGATGGAGAGTGTGAGCGGTGACACACTTTAAACTAAGCCACCGAGCTTGACCATCCGACTCATTTAGTCGCGTCGTACAACGCGGTTGCTGGGAACCCGGTTCTATCCGCACCGTTGTTCAATTAGTAATGCCAATCTAATCCTATAATTATACATGACATTGTAACCTAACTGCGTAGATCGATGCTCATGCTGTCAATCACTGGATTATCTTGTCCAGACTCGATTATTTTCAGTCCGCCGCCATTTAGCTTGAATATTTCTGAACGTGGCGTTAAACTAAACTCACTCACTATAATTATACATATTAGATCTTCAAACTTTAACTATTAGGAGGGGGAGAGGGGATGTTTTTGGAGACAGGATTTGTTTTCGGTCAGAGGAGCCCGAGTCGAGTATCTGTCCTTGACGGGATCAAATCCTAAGGGTTTAAATACTCACGTATTTGAGCATATACAAATACCACTCGAGAAGCTAATCCAAACAAGAACTTTGAGGAGGATGTCGGGATTCCAAATTGTGGCAATTGCGTGACACTTCAATAAATGCTGACATTTTTATTTGAATCCACACGTGCTATAAAAAGCCAATGATGCTAAGTTATAGCGTGCGCCTCGGAAACATGACTTTTTTTTCATCTGATATCAATTCATCTACTACTATACAGCAGGGTGTGCTTGAAATCCATGTATAGGGCAGTGATCATTATAGTACACTGTGTTCTTGTCGGTCTGGGAAATTCCATTTTGGTTTTCCGTATAATAATTGGTTGTTGGCAGCATATACACAGTTTCAAAAGATACGCGACTAACATAAAATTGTGATACAGCGGTGAAAAAAAGAGATGATGTTTGTTACGAAATTAAAGAAAACAACGTGTCCTTAAAGTGAACACAGAAATGATCTTTGTTATTATCCAGAAGTATTTTGTGATGATGTCAATAAGATGTTATTTGATTTCGCCATTTGGTAACGTCACTTAAGAATGATGGGAAATGACATTTCAGTATCGACTAAGGCTTTCATCAGCAGCCACTACACCATAAGAGAATGACTTTCTTCTTGACTTATGTCTTATATCATATAATTTCAAACATGCTTAATGTTTGAATTCAGTATATACGCTTGTCGTAATATTTGAGTTAATAGATCGTGTAGCTAGGCTAGACTGATAACGTCTAATCGTAAGCCGATACGAAATACTGGTTATCTGGCCCCGTCTAGATTAGTTAAAGGTCGATAGCTGACATATTGGTGAGGGCCCAGAAATAAATTATAAGTATTGACAATAGTAATTCTGTATTGTTTATTTAAATTTTTATTATAATTACCCATCTTGTCTTAGTTCCCAGTCGTCTAAGGCGCAGAAGAGTGTCGCCCCTTTTGCACGCAAGGAAACAGTTAGGTTCGAATCCAGGTGCCCTCCAATATAATTCTGGTTGGCAGCAGCAAAGCTGAGCTCGTGGCTTCCCCAAAGTGGTAAAGGTGTGAGGCTATCCATCTCTTCTGAATTTCCAGTGATATAACCGGAATGTTATTATTCAAAGCGACGTTAAACCCAACTCACTCACTCACTCACTCACTTATGGTAATAATATTAATAAAGATCATGAGCAGCTACATATATATTTCTCTTGAATATATTCTACTGAGGCCTTCGTAGGCAAATACCATCAGGCTAAAGCATCCTTAGCTTCCACGTGTGATGACATCTTTCTCAACCATCATCAAGTATTGTGACATCCACTGAAACAACAAACGCCATGGGTGCCATCCTTAGAAGGTACCTTTATGATAATGTCCCAAGCAACTGGATTCATTTCTTGCGATATCCGTAAAAACAATTCACGATAGCTTAATTGTCTGAAACCATCAAACAAAGACTCCCATAGCAACCAACATCACGGAGGACCATCAACTGTTCTCTCATATGGTCACCGTCTAAGAATCTGATGACCATCTCTTTTTGTCATCTAAATAGCCACATTCATCGATGCGGGCTTTTCGTATATTTAACATTTGCAGGACAGACATTGGCCAGTGGCAGCATAGTTGAGACCTATATCTCGACGGGGTTTCCGACAAGTAAGTCCCAGTAGGTTGTAGTCCAGCAGAACACTCACTAGTCAGTGTAGAAAGGAGGTTCTGATTTCGTGTTGTGTTACACTGGGTCGAAGTGCAAACACGACA